TTATGGATAATAGTTTAAATTGTAAAATAAAATTGTAATTGTAAACAGTAGTGCAATTGTAAATAATATAACAACTGTACAATAAAGCAACTGTAAATAACAGGGTAATTGTAAATAATAGCTCAATTGTGACATTGTAAAAATTATCATTCAGATATTCTATTAGTACTTGCCAAAGTTAACGATAAAACAATAAAACACCCACATCTCCGACACATCGGCAGCTATGCTGGAGATCGCTGAATATTAAGAGGGAGCAGAGGAAAAATTCCTAATCTTCGATTTGATTTTAGAGGAGTATATCCACTTTAAAGTTAAAAATAAAATATTGTATGAGTAACTACACGATATATTCAAGCATAGACACTAATCAGAAACATAAAACAATAAACATTCCTCCATAGATAAAAATCACGATATGACCTCTAATTTTCACATTTTTTCGATTCATCCTCGAAATGCTTCAGGTTATTAGGACAAAAATTAGATAATTAATTATATTTATGCATGATCGAGAACTGTAACTACGGATTTTTTTTAATCCCTTTAGTTTTACAGTTATTCCGCTAAAACGAATTTGGTACTTTTAATGCGCAAAATTCAACATCTCCTGTCGCATCACGTGAACTTCAGGCATAAATTTGTTTCACAAATTTGGGCGGAGCCAACGTCAAAACTTTTTTGGCATGCTCTCTCTTAAACGAATACGCCTTAAGTAATTTTTAAAAGTATAATGTGACTGTAGTAATGACGTTATGTAGAAGAATCTGATATTAAACATTGATTAACTTCGAAGATATGTGAAGTTACCAACCCGCAATGCGCTAGGGTGGCGAACTTTGACCTTAGAACACGCCCCGTGTTCATAAATGGGACTTACATTGGTCGATACGTTTATGAAAGCATCTGCAACAGTTACGCTACGAACTTTTCAAGTTTTCCCCCTTGTCATATCCATTTCTCGTACAAACATCCGTCATTTGAAGTTGTCCCGTTTCTTGCTGACGCAAAGCTTTTCAAAAACGAAATGAAAAGCAAACAAACCTATACGTATTATGTTGGTGCAAATACATACATATGTGTGCAAATATGTTGACTGTGCAAACACAGGGAACGTACCGTCGCCATTAATTTGATTACGGCTTTTTAGGGCACACTGATAGTTTATTTGACATTGAATGATGCGAGTAACGAAACCGAAAGATTTATTTACCTACTGGGATCATAGCAAATTTCAAAGTTTTAGGGCTGTACCTATGGGAACCATACTATGTTCACTTTACGGATTGCCGATCTGTTAACAAATGGAAATAATTTGATACAGCTATTGGAGATGTATAATAAACGTACAATTTGATGTTGCGTCATCACCTTTATTAAGGGCATTTTTTATTAGAACGATACCGTAAAAAGTCAGTTAAAAATATCGATGGATGGCAGTTATGAATATACCGCATACATCAGTAAATGGATTTGTCGCTGGGTCATTTTCCAAGACAATTTTGAAATGAAAGGGACCTATTAATAACCAGCTATTAATAACGGCAAATATTACTTCCAACGTCGATTCGGAACATAAAAAAAAACATCGTTATTAATAGTGGAGTATAAACACGAAAGAAAAAACAGTGGAAATGCCTTAAGCCCCGATTACTATCAAAGCCACAGTCGCTAAACTCACGCATTCATTTCGAACATTATGAAATCTTGGTAGTGATTGCTCGTACTTTCTAATTCTAAAGAAGTAACCAATTCTGGATTGTTAATATACTTTAAACTTAACCCTGTTGGCATATCGTTGAAAGTTAAATTATACTATAGTTCAATCATTGCAAGTCACGACGTTTTCATTATATATTGAAATTTCAATCGATGTGCTGCCATCTAGCGATCAATAGCTGAACGACGACGAACGAGTAACGCCTCCAAAAAAGAAGCGACCATATTACAACGGTTTAAGTTTTACTTTCGTTTGTACCGTGGATAATATTACAGGTGCGACTATTATTTTTACATTCCAAAGTAGCATTAAGCTCTAACGTCCGCTAACTAAAATGGCTGTGACAAAATACTTTTTGAGCTATCATAAAATGCCCAAAACCAAGTTTTAGAATATTAAAATTGTTTAATGATATTTGAGCATTGACAGTATTTGAGCTATGCATCGTTAGTGTAAATTCCGGTAAGTCGAACACGCTAACTAATTTTAAGTGTTTTTAAAAGATAATTTTGTTCTCTATCTTTTGCTATATAAAACAAATATTTGACCATTTGTCAATTAGCCGCTGGTGGCTTTTTAGTTAGTGGACGGCAGAGCTACTCTACCACCACTACGCACTTCTACTGTATTTATTGTTCTATGGATATAAATACGACCCAACATCTGAGCAAGCTGATTCTTCGGCTGAGCGTCGAACAATCCACAACCCCTGATAATGCCTTGAAGAGAGACTTTTTTAAAGACTTTTTTAAGAAAATTACCCATCTCTAACGACACGCCACGCCGCCCACTGCCGCGTCAGTCACTATCGGACGCTTGTCGACGTCGGATCTGTGTTAAATTTCCTTCGCCTGTTCTTATTTTATTCATATTAATATACAGCGCGTGAATTGCGAGACGCGAGAGGTGACTCCCCCAACTCACCTCTCACCACCGCTATCTAGGCTCGCTTTGAAATACCTAGTCGTGTGTTTCACACAACAAATCGGCAGCACGCCGACAGCACGATAAGGTGCGTCTTCGTTCCTGGCCACTTGTTTTCAAATTTTAAATCGTTCTTTAATTCATTTGCCTCGCCATTCTCTTTTGTTTCGTTCCGTCGTCACTCCCTACTCAATCGTCGAAGCGAGCACTTCTCCTCTTCAAATTTCGATCCGTTTACCAGTTACCAAAAATCTCTTGTGCGATAAACATTTAAGAGATCACAAAAAAAACTTAATATTTTTTATAAAACTGGATTTATTTCCACTATTTCTGCTTCTTTTTAAATCTTGGATGTTAAACTCGCTAATCGAAGTGTGTGAAGACTGCGGAAGATACATTCCAATCTACAGGACATGCTTGAGCGGTGCCACCAGTACGTGACAGCCTTTTCATACTCCCATAGATAATAGCAATATTTCGCGCTTCTTTGTCGCTCTCGTGTCGTATCGTGCAAGCCCTGCTAATATCCGCTCACGCGATACATGCAGCCGTAGACGCATACCACACCTAGAGGTGCCGGTGATGATTTTATACCGATTTATCGGACATAGAAGTTATAACAGGTAAAAGAACTAATATTAATTGTTATTTCGGTAACTACTCTAGCAAACCATAAAGTTTTTAATGCCTGGGTCTGTCATTTAAAAAAATAAACAACTTCAAAAATACGTGACGACAAACGTGTGTGTTATTGTTTGAGCTGGAGATTTCGGTGTTTATTTATTGACAACATACTGTAAGTAGCGTTTTTTAAGTTTACCCTGAATATAAATATTTATAAACTATACTTTAAGGAGTAATTTCATGGTGAACGTTAGAACCACTCAAACGGAATATTATCATATTTATCCAAGTACACCAAAAATTTCATTAGTGCTTTTTAAGTGCAGAATTTGCGGTGTATTACTGCATTTTATTTGAGATGTTTTTGTTGGTAGTATGGAAGTAGTTATTTAGCAATGCAGAATAATAATTTTTATTTATAAAAACTTGTATTTAAACTGAATGCTTTTCTAATTTGCGAAACCAAATAGCCGCCATTTTGCGGTAGGAGGAGCGCATCGCGTGAGCAGGTATGCACGTAATGAAAACGGCTTTAAAACGTATTGAATTAAGCTTATGTTTAGGTCCGTTATTTGTGTAATGAATCTTGATTAAGTCGAACAATCTGAAAGTATAATATCGTGCTCTCTGTAAGTCTATTTATTTATTATCTACTTATTGAAAACACAAACTTGACTTCTTTATTGAAAATAATATTAGCAATAGAGCTCATATTTTTTGTGAAAATATTCCAATACTTTGGCGTTATTATTATAATACTAAGTAACGGAACCAATTAGTCATGCGCGTGGTGGTAGGCAACACGCCTATAAGAAAAATTCCTTCGATCCAGCTGCTGGATTTGAACCAGCACGTATTTGTCAGATCCCCGGGTCTAACTGCTCTCCCAACTGAACTACGGACAGGCCTCACGAATGTCGTATGTGCTTATTGCCGATCTTTCATTTTTAATTTAAACAGCTTTTTTGTATAAAAAAAAATAAAAGTGCATTTAACCTCTATCTCACCTGGTGGAAAGTGACGATGAGGCCGACAGTGTAGCATACACACCTAAATAATGCCAATTCACTCTCGCCTTCAAAAGGTCCTAGTTGTAACGTTTTACGGCGGCATTCAAGGCTCTGCTGCTTCGCTTCTACTAATTCCGAGTCACCTATAAGCCTCTTGGCCCGTTTGTCGATTGAGTCCAAAATGGCCAGGCTTTTTAGGCATAGCGCTATCTGTTAGCAACCTATGTATAATATCCGTTCTAAATAGTTTCATTTGCAAAGTATAACAATCGCGAAAACCACAGAACTTGATAGGAAAATAATAATTTAATTTAAGTGTTTAAACATACATTTATTTATTTTAAATCTGATACTACAAATTACATTCCATCCATTAAATGCTTTCAAAGACAGGCGCAATATGTTTTTATAAAATTGATCATGTTTCTTTTCTTGCGAACAGATTCTACTCTTAATTTACTCAAAAAATATCGTTGCAGGTTAATAGCAGTATACCCTTCTCGGCACCCCGCCCGCAGGGCAATAAAAGTATTTTTTCCCTCTGTAGGCCCCCTGTTAACCGAACCCATCTATTTCGATATAATTTAAAAATAATAGACGAGGACTAGGTTAACATTGCGTCAAACAGGGAACTGTGGAAGTCAAGAGAAGAGGCATGACAGTGGGACACAGCAGGCTAATAAAAAAAGAGACGATTCAAATTTGCTGTTTTTTTTTTTCAGATAACCTTAAAACCGACGAACGGCGACGGCCTGGTGCTGTACAATTCTGAGCATGCGAGTGGCGATGGGGATTTCTTCTCGCTTCATTTAAGGAACTACTTCATGGAATTCGCCTTTGATCTTGGGTCAGGCATTGCTCTTGTCAGGTAAGTAGCTTTTTTTTAAAATCTGTTTTTATACCTTTGCCAATACATAAAACAATACTTACAGGTAAAGTAAAAAGTTTAGATTAAACCTAAAATAAACCAACTGTGTTTCTTAAATAATATTTAACAAAAATAACGTCTATATTATTACGTATTAGTAAAGCCAATATCCGTTCGCTACGTGTTAAGTAGAAGGCAGTTGGTAAAATTATTGTAACAATGAAAAAAGTAATAGTTACTTTATGTATGTACCTATATGAGTGAGCTTAGAATAATAACCATATTCTAAGTGAGTGAGTATGTTTGGGTGTATTTGTGCGTGCGTGATTGAATGTGTGATCCCAAACTAAAAACAAAATGGAAATTAGGTGACGTGTCTTTTTGTTTCATATTATACTTATTTGTACCTTTATTAATCAATCGATTTTGACGATCTCCGTGATCGAGTGGCTTGTACACCGGTTTTCATAGTGTCACCGTCTCTGAAGTCCCGGGTTCGATCCCCGGCTGAGTCAAAGTAGAAATTTAACTCGTGTATATTATCTCGGGTCTGGGTGTTTGTGATTCCGTCGTTGTTTCCGATTTCCATAACACAAGAGCTTTAGTTAAATTAGAAATTGCAAAATAAAAAAAGAAAATGTAATTTTAAACTACCCACATTGCATGAGTAAGGCCGTTCACCGCCACCCTTCGTGCTTTTCAATCATATACCTATAACAGCAACTAGCACGCACACGTCTAGACAATTTCGTAATGCCCTCACATTTTCTAAATAAAGGCTTGTTCGAAGAAAAAAGGTTAAGTAACCGCTATAACGATGTCAATGTATGAACACTGTCTTATTAAACGCCTTTATGAAAGAATGTAATGCAGTAATAAATAATGTAATAATAAGGTAATATTACTCCTGGAGGAGCTTGGGTGGCATTTGTAGGACCCACCCAAGCACCCACCACACGATGGACTCCAGCCCGTCACACCATACCGTATGAAAACATAATTATACTAACATTATTGCATGGAGTATCGCTGCCACGTTAGGGACGGCTCTGCTATATACCAACTGACCACCTTGGGTTCAATTGTCAAGCGTGTCAAAAGGCTTATAAGTGACTCAACTGCGCCGTAATGTTGCCTATTTGTCGGGTGTTCTACAGGATATACATGGAGAATGCGATGGAATTACACTATTTAATTCCGCCTTTCCCTTTTCATCACCGGGGGACTAGACGTAGGCTTGGGTTCTACCGCCATGTTGTGAACATTCCAAAGATTCACACGAGGCATTTCGCTTGTTCTCTGAACTTTATGACTTGGATCTTTTCAAGGCGAGAGTCAATAGGCATTATTTAGGTGTGCATGCTCCATCGTCGACCTCATCATCACTTTCCATTAGGTGAGATGGAGGTCAAATGCGCACTCACATTTTTATTAAAAAAAATACTTTATTTATAAGAAGTGATTAAATATAATGTAATTTAACTATACCTATGTAAAGTAAATAAACTGTACTGATAATAATTTACGGGACATGTTACTACAGCCGCGTGTTTGTCGCTAGATGACCTGAATGGCACTGAATTGTCACAATCCACAACCACAGCTATTAATGGCATTTTTTGCTGGAAACAGGCCGGCGGGATTTCAATTCTCGTCTCGTCTCACTGGTGGAAAATCACCTTAGGGTAGATTTTATCACTACCAACGTAAGTGTGTACTCAAAAGCCCTGATAGCTGCCTACAGTGCCAAACATTGTAGAGAAGCTCTTTCCTTGTACAGGAATGACATCAGAATGCTCACTAGAGTCTTAACAGGACACCGTGGCTTGAACAAGCACATGTCAAATATTGGGCAGAGAGAGATTAGAGTTACACACCCAATGTTACACGCTAATGTGCGTACGAAGCTCCATAATGGGAAGGCACATGCTACAACTAGAGGACATCAAATCTGTCGGAGCCAGGCAAATCCTTCAGTTCTTCAATGCTGTCGGCCTTGGCTCCGAACTGTAATTAGTGGTGATCACAAGAGATCAGTTGACGGTCGCAGTGATAAGAGAATACATATGCCCCGAATGAAGCCACCCTAATAATAATAATAAGTGTGCACAAACTACGATGTAGAAAAACAATCGCCTATGTTAACTCTTTCTTTAACTGTACATTGACTAAAATATAGATATGGTTGATATAATGCCGAAGTGTTATGCAACATAATTTGAGGACGGCCATTACAACACATATACCCCCAACAGTCGGCAGAACTGACAACATAAATAGCATAACATATGTAAAGAAGTAACTGTTTCGAGAAATCACAACGTTGGCATAATGCCAGCTAGCCGGCCGGGGTGAAAGACAGGATAAAAATCTATACTTGAGGTGCTATTTGGGACTTGTTCGTGCTTATACGGGTAAATAAATTGTTGGAAAATGGTTTTGTGTGATTGTTTAGTTTCCCAGTCGTAAAAAAACTGTCCGTCGCTAAACAGACGATTTCGTTATAAAAGCAATTCTTAACATGATAATAAAAATGAAAGAAATTTTACATGTTTAAATAAGTAAGATTAAAAACAATAAAATGACTTACTGAAAACACAATAAAACACACACACAAGAGAATTCTTTTAATTCTTTGTTTATGATACCAAGTAACCGGACGCCTGTCCATAACAGGTGCAACGCTGCTGAGAGCTGAAAATCGCTTTAAATAATAAAAAAAATAATTTAATAAGTTATTTCACCAGTACACTTATCCTTCAAAACCAAAACACAATAATGGTCACATTATTACTTGACGGCAGAAATAGGTAAGATGGTAGTACTTTCCTGGAAATGTACTGCCATTAAAAATAAAGACGAACAATGTTAAATGTTGTAATCCTTGTCACTGACGCGTCTACCCTAACGCGTGCGTATATACGCGTGTGCGTGAGTTCAATAACGAAATGTTATATGAAATGTTTCTAGAGAATGACGCTACAGCATGCTGTTATTACGTATTATACTCGTAGATTAATGTTTATTTTACTCGTTAAACGACTAGACAAATTGAAATGACTAACACTTGTATAAAATTATCACAGTACTTCGTGGAATGTAAAATGAAACTTTTTTAAATTTTCAAATTTCAGGTCAGCCTACCCTCTGGAACCGAACACCTGGCACAGAATTTCAGTAAGCCGTTCCGGTCGCCGTGCCTCTCTTCGAGTCAGATCGTCATCCACTCGTGACATGACGGACACAACCCGGTCGGTTACATCACGCGGCACAGCCAGACATCTGACGTTGAAGCAACCGATGTTGCTGGGCGGAGCACCTCATCCTTTGCCCGCTAGACTAGCATTGAAGAGTTCGTTTAGTGGTTGTGTTGGACAGGTTAGTTTATAATATATATTATATATTTTTTTATAACATCAAGTGACGGCACGAACAAGTCGTGCTCCTGATGGTAAACTACATGCCTGTCCATAACAGTTACCACTCAGAGCTGTAAATCGCAGAGATCTGACGGGCACTACCACTACGCCTGCCACCCTGAGACATAAGTTACTTAGTCCCATGTTTCACCAGCACCCTTACGCTTCAAAACCGAGACACAGTAATGCTGACATTACTGTTTGGCGGCAGAAATAGATAATTCGTGAAATGTGGAATTCATTCCACAACCAAATTGTACGTGGGAAGCTCCTCTAAAACTGTTCTGTGCCTGTTATTTCACCAGCACCCTTACCCTTCAAAACCGGAACACAGTAATACCGCAAAAATCGAGTATATGTCATATGCGTTCAAGAAACGCATCGTGGCCCTAACCAAATGAGAGCCTATATTACTGGTTTTACCCTAGTGGCCGAAATTCTCCATCCAAAACACGGCAGCGCTGTGTTTGTTCGTCCCAACATCGAAGCCATGTCTAGCTACAGTTACTCTGAAGAGGTTTTATTGTCAACACGCTAAGAAGAAGATTACTGCTTGGCGGCAGAAATATAGAGCTCTACTGTTACTATGAAAACAGTTTTATTTAATGGCTGAGAAGTTAGATATATACGGCAAAAAAGCCGTTAGAAAAACAAAAATAAAGATCTGCAACAAGCGCACAGGAAAATTCGTGAGGTCCGCTGATTCGTTCCATCCATGGCTTATTTGGCATAGCGTCTGATCAAAATTAGAACTCTTTGTAAACGCGTATTGCTGCTCATACGCACGCACGACCTGATCGCTATTTGTAGACAATATGATAATATTGCCCACAAATAGCGATTTGTTCATTTTACCTGGGTCCAAGTGATAAACTTAATTTATGAAATCGACCACGGACAGTCGGTTATTATTAATATTTATCTTTTTAACCTGAGCTCTTAAGTTAAATAAATATTAAACAACATCACATACGTTGTTCTGATCGCAAAGTAAATAGCTAAAGCACTTGTGTTATGGAAATCGAAAGCAACGACGTACAACAAACACCCAGAAACAATGTAGAAAAGTTAGTTTCTACCCTGACCCGGCCGGAGATCGAACCCGGGACCTCAGAGATGGCGACACCATGAAAACTGGTGTGAAAGCTACCCGACCATGGAGGTCATAACGACCAATCTATATTAATAATGCCCCATATGTATTAAGTTTTTGGTACACAACTAAATATTTCCCCTAATATTAATTACAGTTAGTGATAAACGATGAAGAACTGGCGGTCGTCTCTTCGGCGCTCGGCGGTGTGAACGTTGACAATTGTGAGGAACCTCTGAATGATACATGCGGGTGAGTAGAATCTACAGACGGATTAAGGCGACCACCGAATTGTCACCACCACAGAAAAATAAATACAGTAGAAGTGCTTAAGAGGAAGCAGAGGAAAAATTCCTAATCTTCGATTTGATTTTAGAGGGGTATATCCACTTTAAAGTTAAAAATAAAATATTGTATGAGTAACAACATGATATATTCAAGCATAGACATTAATCAGAAACATAAAATAATAAAGTTTCCTCGATAGATAACAATCACGAAATGACATCTAATTTTCACATTTTTTCGATTTATCCTCGAAATGCTACAGGTTATTAGGACAAAAATTAGATAATTAATTGTATTTATGCATGATCGACAACTGTCACTACGGACTATTTTTTTAATCCCTTTAGTTTTAGAGTTATTCCGCTAAAACGAATTTGGTACTTTTAATGCGCAAAATACAACATCTCCTGTCGCATGTCACGCGAACTTCAGGCATATATTTGTTTCACAAATTTGGGCGGAGCTAACGTCAAAATTTTTTTGGCATGCTCCCTCTTAACTAAGCACACGTGATACGCAAATTTGAGAAGCACGTGTGTGAACAGGACGCGAATTTCCACGTGATTAAACTCAGTCCGCCATTTTCACTATACGATATAATCGTGTCTGTTAAGTGTAGAGGGCTGGTTGCTACTTATTTTTCTAATTTAGAATTAAAACAAAGAAGACATGAAAATTAATGCTGTTTACTATGGCAGGTAAGACAAAGTTAAACTGTAACGAAAAGGTTACAGACTAATTTTTGACAGCAGTGAGACCTTATAAAATGACTTAGATTTACGTACAATCAGCCTAGTTTAAAATTATAACAAATTGACGAAAAATCGATTTATAATATAATACGAAAAAAAAATTAAATTAAAAACTACAAGAAAAAAACCTAAACTACAAATAAAAAGCCTCATTTCGCTACTTTAGAGTGCAAAAACGATAGTCGCCCTTGTAATATTATCCATAGTGGTTTTATATCGTCATTAAGTCTTATTTTAACTGCCTCCGTAGCCGAACGGTTACCATACCGGACTGCCACGCAGGGGTCCCCGGGTTCGATTCCCGGGCCGGGAGAAATATTTGTATGGCCTACATTTATTTCTCTCGTGAGTTTGGGTGTAATTTGTGGTTGTCTATGTGTGTGTCCATGGCACCCGCGACACAGGGTTTCCCTAGTGCGGGGCTATGTTGAGTGTGTGTGTGCGTTATTATTTTATTTAAGTTTAACAATTTTTCAATTTTATCGTAATACTTTTTTTATTACAACACACAACCTTGTACCGTCGCTTTTTTTTTAGAACTAAGTAAACATCTCGAATTCGTAGTCATTCAGCTATTAACCGCTAGGTGGCAGCACATTGATTGAAATTTCAACATAAAATCAAAACGTCGTAGCTTGCAATAATAGGTATCGTTGATATCGTTGACAATTGATATGCCAACAGGGTAAAGTTTCAATCATATTAAGAGTCCAGATTATATTAATTAGATTATATTAACTACATTTCATAGTGTTTCAAATTAAATGTGTGAGTTTTGGCGACAGCGGTTCTGATAGTAATCGAGGTTTAAGGCGCTTCCATTGTTTTTTCTTCCATGGTCACCATGGCCAAGAAGCGGCTACTGACGTCTTGCAGCGTAATACCTCTAAACCTGTAAAATAATGAAAACCTGAATCAATGCATTTTCCCATAATATATTTTTCCTTTTTCCAGTGACAAGAATCTCTGCAAAGAAAAACTGGAACCAATGCCCATATACCCTCAAAACATATCCGAAAACGACGTTCACCATTCAATAGTGCCTAAAAAAGGATTCAAACCTAGATCGCACAAAATTAAAACCAAAAAGCACGCCGTACATAACCATGTTGAGAAATTTAAAAAGAAGAAATTCTACGCCAGTAAAAAACATCAATATTTAACAAGCATTGAGAGAAATAACGACGTTGTGACCGAGAAGCCTGCCTATGATGGACAAACATACATGCAAGTGAAGTATTTAAATGCAAACGAAATCAATTGGGGAGACACGAATACGTATCCTAGTTTTACTGGAACAGATAGTTTTATACATATTGATGATGAGGAAACAATGAAAAGGTAAATAAATTTGTTTCTTATCTTTTATATTTAAGGCGCGGGTCCACGCGAAGAAAAGTCGCAGGGTCTATGCAAGAATTCGCGTCGTTTCTACACACGACCTAACTGCCTCGGCGCCGGGCAAGAAAAAAATCTCTACCCCCCGACACGCTTAGTAGTCAACAAATACAACATTTATTTCTTTCCACAGTCGGTAGTAAAACGACAGCTACCTGGAAGACTCGTAATGCACTGACACATTTTACCCTACACACGTCTGTCCGAAAGCATTCGTATCGTGTACATACTCATAATTTTCTCGGCTAGATCCGACAAAGTTCTTGTCGTGTACAAGATCATTCTCATCTTTTCTGTAGCTAACACGTCGAATTTTTTAGCGTGTACACGCGTCCTTAAGGTTTATATTGAATTGCCTCAGTAGCCGAACTGTTACCATGCTGGACTGCTACCCAGAGGTCTCGGGTTCGATTCCCGAGCCGGGAGAAATATTTGTCAAGGTCAAAGTAGGCGGTAGACCCTAATGCGGGGCTATGAGAATATGCGTAGATAAATAAAATATTACTGAAAGACGCGTTGACCTACCAACAAAAGACGGTTCAAAATTCACAGTGTAAAACCAAGCATGCGCTGTTATTAGATATACTTATACATTTTTAATGATACCTAGTGACAGGACGAGCAAGCGGTGCGTCTGTTGTTATGCGACACGTCTATCTATAGCAGTTGCAGTGCCACTCAGAGCTTTAAATCGCAAAAACCTGAGGAACACTGAAACTGCGCTCTTTCACTGCCGTCTCTATGCCAAATCTATTGACATTCATATTTGTCAAAGCTTAGAAAATAATTATAAGATCAATATTTAAATAATATTACACGGAAAAAAATTGATTCTTATATTTCATATTAAAGAGCAATTAATAAATATCCACGGCCATTTACATAATATAAACTGCTTACAGGCTATTGATCAGCGCCATCTAAAAATAAGACGGAATTTTGACCGTTTTCAGAGTTACGATCAGTGGTATGGAGATTAGCAGATACCACAGATTACTTAATAGTTACCACGTAGCAGATATACAAAATCGAAAATACCTACGCTATAATAACCTACTAAATCTGAGTAACACGAAGTGCTCACTACGACGAAAGAAGAACCTAAGCACGCGCTCAGAGTGGTGAAAATAACGCTGCCCGCCGTGTGCAGTCGTGCGGTACCGAATACTCATAAATGAAAGACTTGTACGAGCGCTTGTGCCGTTACACTCTTTTGTTGCGTCGGTACACTCAGCGGTAGACGCTTATCGCGTAACCTTGAGCGAGTGACGGAGCCCTGATGGTACTATTAACGTTCCAGGCTATTAAGCTACACATTGGACATCAACATCCGGTTCCGCTCTGTCAGTCCACATGGTCTGCTGGTGTGGAGCGGCCGCGCGCCCATGACCGCGCCGGGAGACTTCCTCTCCCTCGCTGTCGAGAACTCGGTGCTGGTGTTCAGGTACGTTTTAATCGCAATTATATAAATACATATGTCCCACGTGAAACCAAATACTGGCCTAACTTAAAATTGTGGAAATGAGAAAACACAATTCAAAAAATACTGAATGGATCTTATTGCGAATTTTTATTTAAACATAATACTTATTCCAACTGTTATATTTGTATCCTAAGGTTGCCTGGAAGAAATTGCTACTTAGCAATAAGGGCTCCTATTGTACATTAGCTTACTCTATCATACTTACATTACTGCTGTGTTGTGGTTGTAATATTTATTGTGCAATGAAAAATATTTGAAAGAAAAGAAGAAAGAAAATACATTTATTTGTTTACCACAATGACACCACAAAAGACAAAAGACAAAAAAAAAGAGACAAAAGACAAAAAAAAGTTCATTCATTCAGTATAAAATATCCATAATAATATATAAACGAGAATATATCGTCGGTGTTCTGTAGAAAGGGCGTAAGCGACATTTTGAAAAGTTTTATATTTTCACGAATGTTTTAAAATATTTACGTTCCGTACGTACTAACGTATTTTAAAACTTAAACTTAATTAAAACCAAAATTGAGTTTTAAAACTTGACCAAAATATTTTAAAACAGTCCTTAAAACGTCACTGCAGCGCGTCAGGAATGTTCGCTGAGGCGCGCTCAGACGGCTTTCACGCTATAATGCGAAAAAAGGCCGCCTCTTTTCTCCACCGTGCACGTGGTAGCCGCAATAGCATCCTGAATACGCTTGTCCATAGATTTGACAGTCCTATCCTAATTCATTTGATTAGGAGGGTCATAGGACAAATTAAATAGAGAATGTAAATGTAATGTGATGTAATGTATCTAATGTAATCTGTATTATTTACCTGTAAGTACTAACATAGTGTGTTTTAAGTTCTTTTTTCACTAACAATATATGGAATTCATAAGTTCTGAAATAAAAGTCTTTATTATATATTATTTATGTTAAACATGCTCCCCTAGAAAACTTTTTCGAATTTCCGCTGTCACACTTTCTACAACGATATTATTATATGGTTTCATTCGTTTTTGTTTTTATATTTCCAAATCATGTTTTCTCAAATCAGAGTTCTGAGTTACGACAATTCCTATTTGGTTTCGTGTGCAATATTCATACCTATTTTTTTCCTATAGCAACTTTTATCTACCCTAAATTGGGAGAAATGTTGCCAGTATTTAAAAAGATACGATAAACTTAAAAAAATCATATCATTCATCAAGACTTTCATTAAACGGTATAAAAACTACTTTTGTTACATTCATGCCCAAAGTCCAATATTTTGAACAAAAAATATTAAGTAGGTACTTACCGACAACCATGAATAAGTATAAAAATTTTAAAACAAGTCATGCGCCTGGTGGTAAGCGTTACGCTTGTCCATAGCAGTTGCAGTGCCACTCAGAGCTTTAAATCACAAGTATTTGACTGGCAATGCTCACATTACTGCTTGTAATGTCTGTTGAAATGAGCGTGTTGCGCAGATGGCAGAACAACTATCTAAGTGGGGTTAAAGTAAACTGTCACAGTTAGAAATCGAAAACTAAAAAAAACGAATATGTACCTCTTTTTCCAGATATGATTTAGGCAGTGGAGAAGTAGTGATCATAGCAAATCACACCAAAGTCGACGATGGATTATGGCACAGAGCACGAGCGACAAGGTAATATGTCTACATTAATAATTCTAAAACATTGAACAAAAAACTACGTACGTCAACGATACCATTCATAAACGAAGATATCTAACAAACTAAGGTTAGTATTCCAGAACTCTACTCAATGCTCAAGTCAGGATTTGAGCAGACTTGAGTATGATTTCAAGCACTGGAAATACGACCCTAATGGCAAGGACTCGAGTATGATTTTCAGTGCTCACTGCAATACTCAAGTCCTGACTTGAGCATTGAGTAGAGTTCTGGAATACGACCCTAAGAAATCTAAGCATGCCTGCAGTCTTACCACATAACGCGACATACGATACAATGGCAATGATATTATCAATTTTCGACTCAGTGTTACCATTATGTTCACTAATTATTTGTCAAACTTTTGACAATATTGCAGTTTAAACTGATATTACTACGAATAATCTGTCATCTTTTAACAGATAAGTAGAAGAAACTGCAACACTCAGCCGGAAAGACAATATAAATGCCATTAAGCTCTCTTTCTACTTTACGCGATTACAAAATATAAATAATTAGAAATTGTAAACAATTACTACATTTTACGTTGTTACTCTACGTCGTATTCCGTGATTTTATTTTTCTAAGTACAAATATAAATAGACTATTTATTTAAGTATAAAAACAAGTACGTTTAAACAAATGTAATGTTCTTTGAGTACATCTAAAAACATTTGCGCCGCCAGATGGCGCCACTTCATTTTTCATGTGTGCAATATACTTAGGAAAAGTGTTGTTTACATTTTTATGGCACTAGAATACTTTGTGCCAATAAAAAGTTTCAGGCCACACAGAAAAAAATCATCAGGATCAACATTCTTCGTTGAATATTGTACATACACGAATGAGGTGTTATTATTTTAACAATTCGCGTTGGATGCGGATTCCCGGGCTCGAGTCTCGGTACCACCAATTTGGGAAATGTACTTTTTTATAACTCAATCTGTACCTGAATGCTAAATATCCTTTTGTCTTAAAACTCAATTTTGTAGATGAATTTCGACATCTCACGTATCACGTCACAAAATTTCCTAAAAATCCTATTTTGTCTACCATTTTACTTCCAGAAACAGACAAGCAGGTGTATTGGAAGTAGACGGACTGGGCTCCGTTGGCAAAATATCACCCGGCAAGCTGAAGCAACTGAATACTGAAAACGGACTTTATATAGGTAAGTTCTGCTTGTGTATTGGTTTAAAGTCATGCTAAAGTCTAAAGAGAAAACTAAGGTCATTCTCGGACTTGAGAATACGATAAAAAATCGAATACTTAAATAATAAAAATTGCAGACACTGAAATTAGGTAATGAACACTAGGCCGAGAATGATGTAAGTGTCTAAAATAAGAATCTATAAAAATCTAAAGTAAATTTTATATTGAACACATTGACTTACAATTATATGGACGTCGGGTCCGCGCTAAAAAGTGTCCGAACTTATAGGGCGTTAAAATCGTATACAGAGCGTCATTCACGCTCTAGTCTTCGTTTGTTCGACTGACAGCGAATCAAGCAAAATTAGACAGTACTGCGATGACATTACAATTTAAATTCAACGTTTTAGCTTTTTCATATTCCTTGACATGTCACTACGTTTAAATAGGTTGACTTGGGACATTTTTTTCGTGGTTTTTATATTAGACCCGTCGTCCATTTATTTGTAAGTCAATGATTGAACATGACCGTCTATGGCAGATGTATGAAATGTAGATTTAAACTAGAAAGTTTGCATCTCCTTCGCAGCTTCTGCACCGACATTGCATCTCCTTATTTTCCATTACGTTATTACTCTAATATACTTAGACTACTGTTCTACAATGTGCAATAATAGTACATTATTGCAGAGGCCGGGAAGTACGGGATTGCTGGACGAGTATTAGTTACAAGGACGAGCGCCTTGTAACTAATAGTAAGTCAGGCCTTATATTAATACAAGTCAAGCAATCCCCGTTGCCGCCGAAGCATGTATAGATTTTTTCTCAAACAATGTGAGGAATTAATAAAATACTAAAGAGAGGAAGATGTTTAATAGAAAAAGTAAAAAAATGTTAATTAATATTAAAAGTAATATTTGACGTGTTAGGACAATTGCTTAAAGAGAATGTTATTGTTTTTCCAGGCAGATTAATAATAGTAATCTGCTGAACTTCTGATAATGTGTTGGAATGTGTATCTATTACTGTATTTTCGTTATCGCTCTTCTCACTAGCACTCATTGTCGCGACCAAAATACAAAAAAGACGAATAAACAAAATAATACCAAAACACTTTAGTTGAAATGTTACCGCCATTTTTTTTTTAAGTAAACGGTACAGGTGTTTTTAATTCTCTCAATTAGAACACTGGACAGTTGGTTGTACGAGTTTTTCTTTTGCCTGTTTACTTATTTCATTATTAGTAGATAGATTTGAAAGCTTAGGAAAGAGGACAGTAATGGATTGTCATGCTTACTTTGCAGGCCTTGGCCGGAATGAAGTCGCGCGGTCCATAAATGACAAACTTTCCGTGTTCGTTTTTTGAAAGTAATGCAAACATGTTTCAGAAAAGATTATTTCATTTAATACTACCGTACTCATGGCACATGGTCATTACCATGTTTCCTTAGTGAACTATGACCCCAGTGGCCCAACGGATTTCACTATGAGTGTAGGAACCAATTTGGCTGGATGTTCTTTGTAGTGATCTTGAGTGAATTTTTAAGCTTTTGGCACACGTAGTGCAGACGAGTCCTTTAATTTGTGACAAGGTTTTAATAAGATTGTCCGCCAAAAAAAACATTAAGAATCTCTCATTTGTATTTTATTTATAGTTCTAATACTTTGTTATCTTCCACAGGAGGCTTGCCATCAATAGAAATGAACACAATGGGCAAATACAAGAGCGGTCTCGTAGGATGCGTGTCTCAAATATCACTCAGCGGCGATTTTGACATACCGCTGTCACTGTCAAAGCTCCCACACACAATCACCAACAATGTAGGCAGATGCACCCCATAAAAGTGAGCTATTCATTTAAATGAACCACCACAACTCATTTAAATGAACCCATTCATTTGTGTTCATTTAAACGGACACAGCTTCATTTAAATGAATTTACTCGTAAATGTTCATTCGTTGTTGCCGCGTTTAATGAAGTTATCAGCTCATTTAATAGCACTTTAAATGAATGTTCATTTATTTTGATATTATATGAACTGGCTTTATATGCGTGTAGTGATAGATGTGTTTTGATGGTTAGTTTTCATTCATTTGTTAAATATGATTGTATTGACCCTGATTGATTTAATAACATTCATTTTGATGATTATGAATGACCAATTAATTTAAAAACTCCGTACCTACATATCAATGTAAAAATTATTATCGGAGGCAATAAAGTATTGTGAAAATTTTACACTTTTTAACAATGTTAATTACCATCAACACCAACGATTGACTTAAATAAAAAAAATGAATGAACTACTCTAATGAAGTACTCTAGTCAATTTAGTAATAAGTCATTGTGAACTGCGAAATCTGAAAACTATTAACTTATAAAAATCTTCTCTTCGTTTATTTAACTTCAAATTTTATTTATTAAAAAAAATATACTAAACCTTTTTGTACTAATGATGAAATAAACTTTTCAAAGTGCTTTACTATCTAGTAGATATGAAAAAATAACTATTTGTAATGTTATAATTATATTAAATTAAAGTATAGTTGTACGAGTGGCACGCATATCTTTTTTATTATCTTTTTTTTGAAATTTGTAAACTGAATAATCACGAGTTTGTTACCACAGTAAATGTATTTTATAAAATAGATCATTAAGTGTAATAAAAATAGCGTTTGTATATCGAAAAATTTACATATGGCCGTGGTTTTAGACGATTGTAAGTAGTTAGTCGATAATACCATAGACATTATTGAGCTTTTTTACAATTTAAGTATTAAGCATTACTTGCTTTGATTTCTCATGCTTTAGCTTTACCTAGGGTCGGAATATATTTAATATATGTAGTATTTCTTGTTTACACCAACAAACATAGTATCACTAGCCGAAATATTTTGTGAATTCATTTTAACTTAATATTTCACTTAAGCTTAAAATGAATAACACCACTATAATAGTCAACTCAACTCGATTTTATAACTAACAACATATATACAATTCCATTTATTATTATCAAGAAAACACAAGTGTCAAATAGATTCCATTAAAATGAACTGCCCACTTTATAATTATTTACGTACTTAAGAAGGTACATATACTACAACCCTAGGGAAAAGTTTACAAAAACTAAATGAACCTAATTTAGCACCACTCTAGTCAATAATCATAGATTATATCTGTAGAATGATAAATTTAAATGCGCTTTACGTGTGTAAAATCATATTAATTGACTTTTTTTGAAATGAACGCTAGCCGGAACCTTGTTTTATATTTTATATGCGTCCTCACTTGTCAGCACATTATATGGAATATTATCAGAACAGTAGATGCTGAAGAACCCGGATAAAAACAAATGCAATGCTAAAATTTGATAACAAGTATTAAAAATAAAACAAAATATCGCTACAGTAGATTCTGAGATTACTCCAAAAAAGAATGACTTCCTCTTTAATAAACTAAATGTCGTTAAGTCAGGGTTTCTTAACCTTTTTATAGTCACGAAGATCTCTAAAAATTTCAAAGAGCATACAAACCCGTTGCGAAGAGATGAAAACGCGCGTCTCACTCACTCCAATAAAGGGTCTAAAACACAAAAAGGTCACACGCACAGTACCTATTTACTCACAACGTATTGTATACCCATTTTTATATTAATAACGCCTTAGACAATCGGTGTTACACATACCCCTTACGAAACCCTGCCTTAAATAAAATTATCGTTCATTTCATTAAAAATCAAAATCTATTTTCAACCCTACGAATCCTATATAAGACTTGATTTTCACCAATAAGTTTAGTCAATTAGTACATATTAGTATGTATTTGAATATTTCACAGGGTGTGGAGATTATTTACATAATTACATATCTTGGAGTTCCATTTATGAATGTTAATTTAAATTTATGTCCATCCACGCTTGACACTTAAGATTCAAGTGCAACTCAATGCCAGTTTGACAAAAATGGTCCAAAGTGTCAAGCTTGACATGCTCTCTTTGATTGTACCTACATGGCGTAATGAAACATTTGGCGCCTTCAAAATAGACGCTAATACAAGCGCTGCAACTACTAATTTGAAATATTTGAAAGCGCAATCGCAACGGTACTGTCGTGACACGAGCGCGCCATATTTGCAATAACAATTAGTGAAGTCAGACGGAACACCGGGGAATGAGGGACTTGAAACCTTCACTCATTATATAAAAAATTTAGCACTTTAAAAGTATCTCAGTCGATAAAACAGACAAACAAATTAGTTCAAACTATTTTAAAAAGATGTCGCTATAGTCTGTTTTGTTTGAAGACGGAGTAAAATGCCATGTGTAGGGTTGCCAGTTTTCATAAAATTTTAAATAGTTATGTAATTGTTGTCGATAGATTGTGAAAGAAGACAACATTTTGCCAAAAATGACTGAATTGTGAATGTTACGCCATTCTAATGATTACTAATTGCGTTGTTGCCTTCTTTATTCTTATTTGGACAATTGGCCTACTAGTATCGAGATGAATAGCCGAATTCGATTGTCTATATTGAATTAAAATGAAAATCATTAAAATGTATCTCCTCTCATAAACAAAGTTCTAAAGACGGTGTATGGTACTCACAAAATTGACAATTGAAATATTTGTGCTCAGTAATTGGATAAATAATGCATCGAGGATGATTAAAATGAAACATGTTCGGATATTCATTCCATTATAAGTCCAATATTCAGTCGATAGTCGATATATATTTATCGACTGCAATCACTAGTTGCTCGCAAGCGGGCAACACTTTTGCACAATGAACTGTCATTTTACCCGGTCTTCAAAAAAGATAGACTAGAACAAGCCACTAATAAACAAGAAGAAGACGAAGAAGACTACGTTTCTCCAAATTCAAAGTCCAAGTGGCTTGTTCGTGACACGACTGTAGCGTTGCAACTGCGCTTCCAGTTATTGTATGAAAATTAGTAGTTGCGCGCTTCTATGTATAATGCATATAATTTGAACGTAAGCCGTAATTTCATAACAAAAGCGCTTTATTAATTCTATGAACTAAATACGAGTACTTACTTCAAATATATAAATTGCTGTTCTCTATTTAAAGTCTAGTTCAGGTTTTCGTCCTTGGATGAAATGACTTCGAAAATTCTGTCAAACTAAATTTTACGTCAGCATGGAATACGAGTACGTTAAAAAATTTTTATTAACAATATACGTAACGCCCTGTTATGAAAGAAATTAATTGTAATCTGCATAAAAATTTAACAGCATATCACACATCGTCGCTTACTACAAAAATGGATGGAAAAATTTTGGTGAAAATTCTTAATTCACATTT